TTTTGTATTCATATTAGAATTGTAAACCACACACGGACATTCATGTGAAGATTGTAAACCACACACTTGTATTCTTTTGAAGATTGTAAACCACACACTTGTATTCTTTTGGAGATTGTAAACCACACACTTTTATTCATATGGAGATTGTAAACCACACTTTTGTATTCATATTAGGATTGTAAACCACACACGCACATTCATATGAAGATTGTAAACCACACACTTGTATTCTTTTGAAGATTGTCAACCACACACTTTTATTCATATGGAGATTGTAAACCACACTTTTGTATTCATATTAGGATTGTAAACCACACACGCACATTCATATGAAGATTGTAAACCACACACTTGTATTCTTTTGGAGATTGTAAACCACACATTTGTATTCATATGAGTATTGTAAACCACACGCACATTCATATGAAGATTGTAAACCACACACCTGTATTTATGTGAGGATTGTAAACCACGCATTTGTTTGTATATGGCGATTGTAAACCACACACTTGTATTCATATGAGGATTGTAAACAACACACTTGTATTCACATAAGGATTGTAAACCTCACACTTGTATTCATATGTAGATTGTAAACCACACACTTGTATTCATATGAGAATTGTAAACCACACACTTGTATTCATATGGAGATTGTAAATCACACATTTGTATTCATATGAGTATTGTAAACCACACACGCACATTCATATGAAGATTGTAAACCACACACCTGTATTTATGTGAGGATTGTAAACCACGCATTTGTTTGTATATGGCGATTGTAAACCACACACTTGTATTCATATGAAGATTGTAAACAACACACTTGTATTCACATAAGGATTGTAAACCTCACACTTGTATTCATATGTAGATTGTAAACCACACACTTGCATTTATGTGAGAATTGTAAACCACACACTTGTATTCATATGGAGATTGTAAACCACACACTTGTATTCATATGGAGATTGTAGACCACATATTTGTATTCACATAAGGATTGTAAACCACACACGTGCATTCATATGAAAATTGTAAACCACACACTTGTATTTATGTGATGATTGTAAACCACGCACTTGTTTTTATATGGAGATTGTAAACCACAAACTTGTATTCATATGGAGATTGTAAACCACACTCTTTTATTCATATGGAGATTGTAAACCACACACTTGTATTCATATGAGGATTGTAAACCACACACTTGTATTCAAATGGAGATTGTAAACCACACATTTGTATTTATATGAGTATTGTGAACCACACACGCACATTCATATGAAGATTGTAAACCACACACCTGTATTTATGTGAGGATTGTAAACCACACACTTGTATTCATATTCAGATTGTAAACCATACACTTGTATTCACATGGAGATTGTAAACCACACACTTTTATTCATATGGGATTGTAAACCACACACTTGTATTCATTTGGAGATTGTAAACCACACATTTGTATTCATATGGAGATAGTAAGCCACACATTTTTATTCATATGAGGATTGTAAACCACACACTTGTATTCATATTGAGATTGTAAACCATACACTTGTATTCACATGGAGATTGTAAACCACACATTTGTATTCATATGAGG